GCTTAGGCAGGAAATCCTATACCATTTCAGACAAATGGTTGTCTAATCTCTTCTTAAAAACTTCCAGTGTTGGAGCACCCACAACTTCTGAAGGCAATCCGTTCCACTGGTTAATTGTTCTCAGTGTGAGGAAATTTCTACTTAGTTTTAGGTTGTCTTTCTCCTTAATTAGTTTCCATTCATTGCTTCTTCTCTTGCCTAAAAGGGCTTTGGAGAATAGTTTGACTCCTTCTTCTTCGTGGCAGCCCCTCAAATATTGGAAGCTACCATGTCACCCCTAGTCCTTCTCTTCATTCAACTGGACAGACCCAATTCTTAAAAGTTGCCAAGACTGGACACCCCTGGCATAAGTGGTAACACTTGTGGACTTCAACTCCCAGAATTCTCTAGCTAACATGCTGACTTGGGAATTCTGAGAATAGAAGTCCACAAGTCTTAAGCTTGCCACAATTGGACATCCCTGACCTATGCCCTCTTACCTCCTACAGAAATGCATCCTGTGGGTATTATGGGCTACCAATCCTTTTTGGGTTTAGCCTTATGGAGATGTTACCACATAGCAACCCAAACTGAGATTGAATTTACTGAATTGTAGGGAATTTGCAACTGACTAAATGCAGAAACCATACATTCTATACAATGAGAAAGAACAACCTGGACAAAAGCATTTTCTTTAAATGTAGCTGCTCCGTTCTCATCCTCCGCATGTTTCCCGCCATTTTAATGAGCTCCTTATCCAGGGATTCCTTCTGAGCTTCCAAAAAATTTAGTTTCTGGAGCCATAGGGTTCTTTTATTCTCCAGAGTTTTCTTGAGGTCCTGTGTGGAAGTCAACACAAACATCTATAGAGCCACCTGCGGACACATCGTGGACAGCCCACAACATCTTACATGTCAAGGTCCTCTTTCGAACACAACAGACGAACACCATTGATCTACAGAGCACAGGAATCTATTGGTTGAATTAACCCAGAGGTCAGCAACCCAAGGCTCCGGAGCCACATGTGGCTCTTTCATCCCTCTGCTGCGGCTCCCTGTTGCTCAAAATATGCGTCACAACCGCCAATGGGTGATACCCGCTGGCACGTGATTTATTGAGCTTTTTATTGAACCAACCATGGTTAAATCCAAGAAAAGAAAAGTTTCAGAAGAAAACAGAACGTTTAATTCAACTACATATGCTAGTTTTGTGGCCCCTCAGGAAATAGTCAGGTGATCTGCTACTTCACAAATTCTGAGAACAAGGAGGAAGAATCAATGCTAGATTCCAAACTGCTGTAGGCCCTCCTCTTAGCAGAAAGCCCCTCAACATTAGCACACCCAGAAAGGAACAAAAAGAAAAGAGAAGAATCTAAAATCAGATTGGAGCTTTGGCAGCTGAAGGAAGCATCTTTCACTTCTGCCTTTGTCTTATTTTCTCCGATCTGCTAAAAGGGAGCTGCAAAGCCATCAAGCTACCATTCCCCTTAGAGGACCCAAAGTTGTAAGGCAAAAATATTTACCCCCAGAATCCCAGATAGAAAACGCTCTGATATATGCAACTGCATGGTTTGCTGGGAATTCATACTCCAATACATCTGAAGGGTGGCAGATTAATTAAAGGTGATCCAATGCTTACAAGGGAATTTGTCTTCGGGGAAGCTAACCTAAGAGCACGCTTGCCTGCCATTCAAGGGTTATTTACCACCAAGGTCTTCTGGTAAGTTTCTTGCAGATCCAATTCACAGTCTGTTGGGTTCAGCAAAGGCAGCCCTGCTAAATCTTGAACTTGAGAAAGTTCTTCTCGCTGCAAAGAAAGAGTTGGGAACATGGGAAACATCCGAAGGTATCATAAAAGAGTCATTGGATTGAAAGGGCTGCTGGACCTGGGATGTTGTCTTTATACAACCCTGGTTTCAGTTGCGAATAGCACAAGTTGCGTCTGACTTTTCACAATGCCACAGACCACAGCATGCCAGACTCTCTATCCTCAACATGGAGACTTCAATTTAAGAATTTAATTTGCTTATTCTGGTTTTCTGTCTCCAGTCCCAAGAACAAACGATACAGAGTAATACGAAACTGTAAAGCAATTGCAGGATTTAAATCATCTGAACCCACTGTTCTCTTTTCTGTTATCTGCCTGATCCCACTATGCCTTTCAAGACAGAAGGCAGGATTCAACAGGTACAGCTGAGATTTAGAGGCTTTCTTAGATGTTTTTCTACTGTGCTTCAGGAGAGCTTACAAAACAAAACACCAAATATTTTTAAAGAAATGTATGCAAGTATCCAAGAGAACAACAACAAAAGAAGTTTAATGCTTTAAAGCGGAAGAATAAGGATGTATTTGCCAAGGTGGCGCAGTGGTTAGGGTGCAGTACTGCAGGCCACTTCAGCTGACTGTTATCTGCAGTTTGGCTGTTCAAATCTCACCGGCTCAGGGTTGACTCAGCCTTCCATCCTTNGGGGGGGGCGTGCTTTGCGCCCGTGCTATGCTTGCATGTGCAGAAATAAAATAATTGCTTCTGATAGAACCGATTCGGGCATGTGTCCGGTCGAGTTACTACCTACTCGGCTGAACCGGTCCGAACTGGTAGGAACCCACCTCTGAGTGGGTCACCATTTCCTTCTCCAGTGGGTCACGTTGTCAGAGCTCTCTGCTATGACCTGTCCGTTTTGGGTGCCCTGCGCGGCAGAACTGATAGCTTCATTGAGCTACGCAAGCCCCTTCACCACGACAAGATAATAATCAATTGTTTTGTCAGCCCAGCATAGGGAAGATAATTCTTTTATCTGTTAAGAATTATAGTATAGTTAGTTGACTTATAATGATTCATTTAGTGACCATTTGAAGTTACAACCTTGTTCAGCTTCCATCCATTATTCCTTGTCTGGCTTTCAGGTGCTTTGGAAAATAGCTTGACCCCCTTCCTCTCTGTGGCAGCCCCTCAAATATTGGATCACTGCTATCCTGTCTCCCCTGGTCCTTCTTTTCACTAGACTAGATAGACCCAGTTCCTGCAACCGTTCTTCGTATGTTTTAGCCTCCAGTCCCCTAATCATCCTGGTTGCTCTTCTCTGCACTCTTTCTAGAATTTCAATATCTTTTTTATAGTGTGGTGACCAAAACTGAATGCAGTATTCTACGTATGGTCTTACTCAGGCTTCATATCCCCCAAGACGAATGCAGGTTGCAACCTAAAAGGACGGAAGGACCAAAGAGTTGAGAGATACTTACTACTTTGTTCCTTAAGTTGCCGTTCCAGCTGTTGGCAAGTTTGCGTTAAATCTGTATTTCTACCCCGGAGTCTTCCTTGCTCGGCAGCGCTTTCTTCTAGCTTCTTCTGTAAAGACCCTACTTCCCCGTGGGCAGCGTGAAAGTCACTCTCGCGATCCTTAACCTTAAAGAAAGCAGCGACAGCAGGTCAACTCAAGTTTCCGGCATCAAATGCTGCAAGACGCGCTCCTATGGGCCGCTTCCAAAAAGAGACCAAAAACACATTTCTTCTCTTTCCGGAAGCCATGAACTCTTCGTGCTTCTGCATTTTTTGAGGGACAGGTTCTGCTTGTTGGTGTGCACCAAGCATTGTTTTCCTGTGCAGAGCACAAGAAGTTGTCACCCCCCTCCCCCAGCCTAGCTTTGACTTCTTCCGCAATCACATTTCTGCAAGTTCCAGATGAGCACACCAGTTCTGCTTTCGTTAAACCAAGCGGCCTACAGCTGGCCACTGTAAAGCTCTTTCTCCCCAGTATTTTACAGAAGGAAACTGAGCCCCCCCCCCTCCGGTGGGGAAGACAGCCTCAACATACCGAAAGGAATAATGCAAGCAGTCACTTCACCAGGACTGCACATTAAGACTTCATAATAATTAAGATTTCAAAGCAGCTCAGCAGCTGGACTGAGAGAAAGAAGAGAAAAGAAGAGAAGGGAAGGGAAGTATAGCATAACATAGAGTAGGATAGGATAATAGAATAGAATTCAGGATAGGATAGAATGATAGGATTATAGAATAAAATAATAATATAGCATAGGATAGGGGAGAAGAGAAGAGATGAGAAGGGAAGAAGTGGAGTGGGAGAGGTGAGAGTAGAACCAAACTAAACCGAACCGAAGAAAACAGAAGGAAACAAAACAAAACCACGAAAACTCTCTGCAGCTTACAGATATTTCTCGATTTATGACCACAATTCAGGCCATTTCTGTTGCTAAGCAAGACAGTTGTTAAGTGAATTTTGCCTCGTTTTACGGCCTTCCTTGCCACCGGTAAGTGAATCACTGCATTATTTAAGTTAGTAACAGAGCTGTTTGAGTGAATCTGGCTTCCCCATTGACTTTGCTTGTCAAAGGGGAACACGTAACTCCAGGACACTGCGACCATCATTAATGGGAGCCAGTGGCCAGGCACCCAAGTTTTGATCACGTGACTGTGGGGATACTGCAGGGTCGTGAGAAAAACGATCCTAAATCAATAGGGCACACAGGATTCATAGATGCACCAAATGTCTGGGTCAGATAATTCACACTACTTCATATTTTGGCATCTCTAAAGATTGTTCCACCCTTTAAAAAAAAAACCTAGCTCATAATCTGGCGTTGCCCAGATAATTATTTATATGGGGGAAAATGTCCGGACCAAACATAATTTCTAATTGAGGATTTCCCCCCCCCCCCCCTTTACCAGAGTTAGCCCCCTTGTGGAGTATGGTGAAGCTGTTACCATGGCTACTCCACCGTGCTGTACAATAGAAGCCATTTTAAGGCAGTACAGTAGAAGCCATTTAAAGGCACAACAGGCTGTATCTTAACAGAACACACACCCCGAGGGGTATTAGGGGTGTCTTACCCCCACACTATTTTTTTCCACAGAGTAAGCCATCTGTGTACCAAGGTTGGTTGAAATTGCTTGAAGGTGTTCCAGAGTTATGCTGGAACACACACACACACATACACACACACACACACACACACAGACAGCCATTTATATCTCTATCTCTATCTATCTATGTAGACATAAAAGTTTGTTCCATCTTTTTAAAACAATTTATAAAAGTATAAATTGTATAAAAGTATAAAAGATATAAAAGTACAATGTAGGATACCTACCCTCTTCCCAGCTTCCTCCAATTGTTCACTTAGCTCTTGCAATTTCAATCTTAAGACGTCTGCTTCTGCCAAAGCTTCTTCTTTGAGCTGGTTGGTGGACTGGATCTCGTGTTGTCTATGAAGATAGTAAGCACTCTCGTATTTATGATGGTTGCAGTGTCCCGGGTTCATTTCATCCCTTTTTGTGACCTTCTGACCAGCAAAGTCACTGGGGAAGTTGCCAGATTCACTTAACAACTGCATTACTAATTTAACAACTGCAGTGATTCATTTAAACGAATGTGGCAAGGAAAGTCATAAAATGGCCAAAATTCACTTAGCAAACTTCTGACTTAGCAACACAACAGGGCTCAGGATTCCTTGTACTGTACAGATGCTCAATCATATGCATTTACAGGCTTAGGAGTATTACGGGATAATGCTTGAGGATATTTGCCTACAGGCAGTCCTCAACTTATAACCACAATTG